ACTGTAACAATGGTTTCGAATATATTAGGAATGGCATGGATGGCACAGGATAGGGCAGGGTTATTGTAAGTTGTACTTGATTCATCGCAACCTAAAATAAGTCTTTTCTGATGATGAATCAGAAAAATAATCCAGTCAAAGTTTGCCCTTCTTATTCGTAAGGAATATTTTGTTGTATTCCTTCAAAGATTGTGTGTTCTTATGGGAATCCATGGTGTATTCGCTATTCTTTGCCAAAGACAGTGGAAGTGCATCTTGAGTTCCTCTTTCTTCCTTTTTTATTATGCAACGTTTACATGCTTATGCAATGTTTACATGCATATGCAAAAAAAGCCCCTCATGATGCATTGGTATACCATGAGAGGAAGATTCAGAGCTGAGGCTGAGGCTCTGAAACTCTGAAGGGGTGTAGGCTCTCCAAGATAAGGGCAGGATAAAAAGTTTAAGTCCTTTCAAGAATCATAAAATAACCAAGTAGATAAAAGCTAAATGTGTGTTTAATAAATTTCAATAGGAGGAAATGGACCATGTCAGATTTCATCCAGTGAAGCACCACTCCAACTTGAGAGGTGAATATGGAGTATTAACATCTGACAAGGGTCTTATTTCACTCTCAAGGCCACACTGGCAGATGAAGATAATTGTCATTTGAAAGCAAGAAGGTAATTAAAGCTGAGAGAGGGTGCTGGACATGTCTAAAGCCACAAAAGTGCTCCTGTGCAGGACTGAGCTGGGCCCCCTCAAGTGATGGCCAGCTCTACCCTCTCACACTTGTTCTGATTCCATCCTCAAGCAGGTCTCTGATAACCAGGTGCGAGAAGGAAGTCAGTCCTGGAGCTAATTATGTTGAATTGCCATAAAAAGTGAGGATGGAATTAGATCCAAAGGAGACATACAGAGATTCTGGGGTGACAGCCTAATATTGTAATAGTTATGGAAGAGGAGATTTATGAATATTTCTGTCACCTTCTGATGTAGCTGTTCCTTTAACAAATCAGCTCTTAGATCCTGTGTGCCTTGTGTGTGCAAGGACTGTCAGGTTACCAAGGACTCCCCCCTGTAATGCCTGTTCTAAATGCAGGGCTGAAAATTACATGGAACGAAATGAAAACCTTGACATGGACTCTTAGTGTGGGGAGAAATGGCATAAATTCAGAAGAAAAGACTGGGACATTCAGAATGTAGATATGAGTCAGTAAAGAGGAGCCAATGAAGGTTTTTATGTAAAGGAATGTCATCACCAGACCCATTATCACTTTCATCCTCAAGACAAAAGTTGCTGTTAAAGAGCACCTACTCTGTGCCAGGCCAGTACGCAACACTGCAAGCACAAACACATACACATACAGCTCTTACTGTTGTGTTATTGTGGTGGTTGTCAACATAACTGTGTAGACCTTATGAACAATAGTTCTGAACCTTGCTGTATCCTGAGCCAACTGCACCATCTCTGACACACCTGACCCATTTCTACAGTCATTGCGTAAATCCATCTCATTAAGAATCTTCCTGTCTTATGCTGATCCTCCACCTTCCAAGCAAAATGTTCTCCAAGAACTGGCCCTTCCTGACAACATGACTATCTTTGAGGCCAAGAAGCACCTTGGTTTCACCTTCTCCAGGACAGATTTCTTTGTTTTCTTGGCAGTCCCTAAGATATTCACTACTCTTCTCCACCACCACAACTCAAAGGCATTGATTTGTCTCTGTCATCCATCCTTAGTTACTGTTCAGCTTTCAGATGCATAGCAAGCAACTGTAAAGGCTATGGCTTGGATCAGTCACACCTTAGTCTCCAGACTGACATCATTGCTCTTTAGCACTCTGAAGAGGTCCTTAACAGCAGATTTTCCCAATGCAACGAGTCTTTTGGTTTCCTGAGTGCCGGTCCCAGATGTTGATTGCGAATCTGGACAGTATCCCCTTGCTGTGTTCAGAAAACAGTTTTTGGTTTAGATATAAGTGTAAGTTTTTCAGGAGCACAATTAACTGATACAGACAGTCAAATGTCTTTGGATTGTCAATGAAACAAAAATAGACATCCTTCTGATATTCTGTGCTGTTAGCCAAGATCCATTTTACATCAGCAAATATATCCCTGGTGCCCTGGCCTCTTCTAAATATGTTGATGTTCTCTGTTTTTGTATTGTTCTAGCTACTTTTGGACAATCTTCAGGAAAATTTTGCTTGCATGTGATAATAATGATACTATTAATTTCTGTGTTCTGTTGGATCACCTTTTTGGGGAATGGGAATAAATATGGACCAGTCAGTTTGCTATTTAGCTGTCCTCCAGATTTCTTGACATAGACTGGTGAGCATGACCAGGGCCACATCTGGTTGTTGGAATATGCCAGTTGATATTCCATACATTCCTGGGGCCTTATTTTTTGCCAATGCTTTCAGAACATCTTGAACATCTTTTTTTAAGCATTTATACACCACTGAGGTAAATATGAATAGTCTTTTCATTTGACAGGTGTGGAGGCTGAAGCAAAGAACCTCACAGGGGCAGAGCCTGGGTCTGCACGCACATCTCTCTGAATTTAGTTTACCCATGACCTCGGCACTCTGCAGGTTTTTTGTTTTCTGAAATACCCTGGGCAGCATGTGGGGTGGAGGTTAGAAAGCCATCAGCATTTAGTTTAGTGATAACATGCATAAGGCAGATCAATGTAAAGGAAGAGAAAGGAGAACCAAAGGAGGGGGGAAGGTCCAATCAGCAGCTAGGGAAGGGAGGATGATGGAAACAGGGAGATAGGAACCTTAAGAAAGACAGGCCAAAATAACAGGGCTGGGTGATGGAGAGGTCAGGTAGGATTAAGGTGGAAAAAGAACCACCTCACAGTAGTCCTACAGGATCGAGTGAACGTGCTATGCAGACTTCCAAAGCTGTAAATCTTTATGGAAGCAGAGTCCATGTCTTTCTTCTGAAGCTGATGGTTTTGAACCACCAACTTATCAGCTACCAGCTAGCACTTAACCACTGTACCACCAGGGTTCCTAAAGGAACATCTCAGCCAATCAAACCGCTGTTATGCAGTAAATTCTGACTCATGGGGACCCTATAGGATAGAGTAGAACTACCCCAAAGGGTTTCCAGCCTGGTAACTTTTACAGATACAGCCTACTTCATCTTATCCCCCTGAGGCAAAACCTCAGAGCAGCTAGCAGGCTTGAACCTCTGATCTTTTGGTTAGCAGCTGAATTCTTTGGCCATTGTGTCATCAGGACTCACAGGATCTGACAGCTCGGAGGGCTCCCAGGTCTTTAGACAGCATCTCCTGAGAAGCAGTCAGAGTGGGTGGCCAGATGCCGTGGGCTGTGAGGTGAAGATGGAACCTGCCGCATGTAAACGTACTCTTTCAAGAAACATGATGTGAAAGGAAGGGTAGGAAAGAGGTCTAAAAAAGGGGAGGTGGTGGAAGAAAGGGTTGTCTGCCAGGTTGGAGGTGGAGAGAGTCATGAGTGGAAGGAGAGAAGCTAAAGAGGCTATTGTGGAGAGACCCCAGTGGGAGCTCCCAGGGCTGGAAGGGGAGCACACTGCACTGGCCAGCCTTCTGTGCTGATTTCTTTCAGGCTCTGACATGGCTCAGAGGATGCAAGAGTAAGGCTGCTCACTGAGAGGGCTGTGGTCGAAACACCTCAGCTGTGTGAGGCTCAGAAACCTTACAAGGTGGTTCTCCTTTGTCCTTTGGGGTTATGGAGTCCACTCACCACCTATGGCTTTGGGAGTTTGTTCTACATGTTTAGTGAAATGAATGAATGTGACTTGATAATGAAGAAGTTCTTTGCAGCCTTTCCCCCTTTCTTTCCTTCCTTTTCCCATAAATATTAACTGCACACCTAACATGTGCTTGCTTTGTTTTCTATAAGTATTACAATGAAGACAGTGTACATCTGTCTTCTGATTCTGTTAATGAGACATTAAATGAAATGCACATAAATATATGTGTGTATCCGTGTATATCCTATGTCAATACTAAGAATCACTAGGCTCGCGGAACACTGATAATACATTGAGTGCTTTTAATTATTTGCTCATTAATAAAAATCCAAATCAGTTGCTGTTAGTCCTGAGTTAAGGTGTGTGCTTGCTGGTCCCTTCTGCAGATCTGAAATCCTGGGCACAGGGAGGTGAGGCTGCTGGGTCAAAGACAATCTATATACTATAAAGCAGGTGATCCTAAGTTGTCTGTCTGTAAGCTGGTAAGAGCACACTGTCCTGCCTGACTGTTTCTCCAGGAGCCCCTCCGATGGGTTTTGGAGACTATAAATCATTATGGTGGAGACAGCCCATATTTCTCCTGAGGAACCCAGATGCATTCAACCTGTTTGGGTTGGCAACACAACTCACCATGGACGGACTTTGCCACCAGAGAGGTGTGGCTGCTACTAGTCTGAGCAAGGCCTGCAGGAGGCCACACACATTCTTGGGTGGGGATGGGGGTAGGGGTGGTGGGTGGGCCTGGGGGTAGAGACCAAATCTAATAATTTCAAAGCGAGGTTCCTATATAACCAACATTGGCATCACCCAGGAGCTGGATGTGAAAGCAGAATTCTCACAGGATTCCGTGATCTGTGTCTGCATACTCCAGGTGACACTCACGCACATTCAAGTTGGAGAAGCCTGGGCTTGAGCCACTTCTGCTACGCCAGATAGGAAAGTGAGGTTTGAAAGGGTTGGAGAGTAGAGGGTGGCACGTCAAGGTTTGGTGTCTGAAACCTGTCAAGGTCCAGGTCTGAAGGGAAGGAAGCTGCCCTCCCATCTTAGGAGCCTAGGGTGGAGACCTATCACACCTACACCACTAAATGCTCTGCGCGCGCAAGGTGCTCCAGGCTGGCGCGGGTGGCGCGGACGCCCTGAGGGACAGTGCCGCCGCGTCCGTGTCTCCGATCCCGACCCAGCCGTCCCTGTCCCCGTCCTAGTCCGCGAGCGGCCCGGCCCCTCAGCTCCACCCCCTCCGTCCCTCCTCCCGCCCTTCTCGCCTCCTGAAAAGCCAGCCCGCCCGGGGCGGTGGCGCAGAGCCGGCCGGCGCACGAGGCAGCCACCGCGGCCATGACGGTGGAGAAGGCGCTGCCCTTGGGCGGGGGAAAGGCGGCCGAGGAGGCGCGGGAGCCCGAGGTGCCCGGCGGAGGCAGGAGCGCGGCGCCCGCGCGCGAGCCGCATGCCAAGCGCGACAAGGCGGTCCACGAGCGCGGCCACTGGAACAACAAGGTGGAGTTCGTGCTGAGCGTGGCCGGTGAGATCATCGGTCTGGGCAACGTGTGGCGCTTCCCCTACCTGTGCTACAAGAACGGTGGAGGTGAGGCGCGCGAGGCTGGGGGCGGGGACCCAGGCCGCGGGGCCCCGCCGCGCCTGCGTCCCTGGCCGCCACGCACGTGGGGCACCCCGGGCATCGCCTGCCTGGCTGGCACGCACGCTCTGCTGCGCAACCGAGAGTGCCACCTGCTTGCGCCCAGGGACTTGCCAGCCAGGTGCGCTGGTTCCCAGTTGCAGTGGTACTGAATGAGGAGGCAGGATTCCCTCCTTCCCCCACCCCAGATTTCTTTGAGCCTCCCATCTTTGAGTAGAAGCTGGCCTGAGGGAAAGGATACTCAGAGCATCATCAATGCAGGCCTAGGATTCAGAGCTTCCTGACATATCAGCCACCACACTAAGCCTTGCTACATCCTCCCTTTGAATCCTTCACCTTCACCAGGTGGGCAGTGGTGACCCAGGTGGATTTCTGATACCAAAGGACATGAGATTGTACCACAGAGACATATTTAGGTGGATATGTCTGTCAACTTCCCTAGAATGAATATTTTGGGCCTCTCTGGCAGAAAATTGGCACCAAGCAGTTTCTTGCCCTGGCTTTATAGTCACTGGCAACAAAAAACAAGCATACTGATTTAAAGTTTACTGAGAGCTTGCCAAGGGGAAGAGGCACGGAAAAGAAGGTGATGAGGGAGTAACTGTTTCTAATGGCATTGCAAATTCAGTTTGTTTGAAAAGTGTAGTCAGGAACTCCTAGATTTCCCAGCTGAGTTTATTGGCCCAAAACTTCAGGAGCCTCCGGATTATCATCTTAACAGGACAGCTACAAGCCCGTGGCAGGGGCTCTTGTCAAACCCAGTGCAGTGCCTTGGTGCCTTTAAGAGAAAACTGTGTATATTCCACCCCTGTCTTCACTAGACCTTTCAACTCTCAGCAAACCCTGAGCCTCACAGACGGTGGCTCCTGGGTGGCTGACAGAGACTTGTGTGTCGGAGCACAAGAAGGGCACTCTTGGGCCCAGGCCTTTGAGACATTGATGCCTCAGGCACAGGCTGCTCCCTTCTGCTCTGGGCTCAGAAGAAAAGTGGTTCCCAGTGTGGGTAGCTGGGCAGAAGAGGGGCTTAGTGAACTGATCCCCAGTGCTTCCCTGTTCACCCAGAACTGAAACCTGTCCTTGGTTGATGCAGTCTTTATGAGGAGTGATATGGTTTTAACTTTTTAGTAAGCAAAAGCCATCCCTAAAAGCAGAAAGCAGTGTGATGTTGAGTTAATTGCAAATCCTGTCACAGATTTTTTTTAAAGGTTGTAGTGAGTCAAGTTTAAAAATGAGTCACTTTGTTTTTACTCTAATTTGTCAGGAGCCTACACTTGGCACACAAATATCTTGGCGTGGTTGAGTTTGTTATTTTAAGGATTACTGAATTTGAGAATAGATAGGCCAAAGAAATTTCTGGAAAGTATTCTCTGTTTGGTTTTTGAAGATTCACAGGTGACTTACAATGTGTTAGGGAATGTATTACAGCTTGCTTTACCCACTTTAATTCAGAAGACAACATGTCCCTTCTCCCTTTCACATGCTTTTTGCCATTTGATATAGTTGGGGAGCTCTGTTGGTGTAGTGGATAGGGAATTTATTGCCACCCCAAATATGAGTGGTTCAAATCCACCAGATGCTCCAGGTGAGAAAGATAGACAGTCTTCTCCTGTGTGACTTAAGCTTCTGAAAACCCAGTGAAGGGTCAGCAATAAGTCAGTTCTGACTTAATAGCAAGGAGTTTAGTTGGAGTATCAACTTACTAGAAATTAAGCTGCTTATCAATTGTTTGCCTTTTAAAAAGAACAGCAAAAACTACATAGTCTACATAGTCTGGCTCATAGATCCCAACAATAGTTTAAAATTATTTATTAACCAATGTGAAACCTTGAAATAGTCTATTTCCCAGAAATACTAAATGTTCAAAACCCAGAGATCTGGGTTATCAGACTCTTACCAGGACTGACCAAAATTATTGCATCCTTGTGTTTGGAGTGACTTCATTTAGCAGAAAGCTATTTCCATTAAAACCTTCATTTGTGAGATTAGATGTTAGGATTAGCATGTGTTTCTAGGCTTTCTTTCATACTGTGACTAGAAAGAGAAAGATTTGGTGAAATTGCATTGTGGTGGTAATAGTCCCTTCAGTTTTCTAATTGTTTCAAAAAAGGCCCAGGAAACGGGATTAGGTTTTGACGTAGGAGCACTGCAGCTTAGGGTGGCTTTTCCCCACACAAGTTCACAGCCAGCCTTGTTGGTTGATAATTCCTGCAGTCTTCTTACTGCTCATCACCATGCAGGACCCCAATACCTGGTATGTTCAGCATCACTCATTGGACAGATGCCTCAGAATGCCTTTCTTTAAGGGAAAGATTATCTGCAGGACTCTTGCAAAGTAAAGAAAAGGGTCTTGATGAAGGAGTCTCCTTCAACCAGTCCTTTTAAACTTATTTTAGAATAAACAAACAGAATTATTAAAGCATGGCCACATTGTTATCTTGGTCATGTGATCTCTCAAGGAAGTAAGTGGTGCAGGTCGACTGATAAGAAAGTTAAGGACTGAGATGGAGACAATCTTCTTAAGGTGGCCGAAAGCACAGACCAGGCACACCTTAGCCGACCCTGGTCTTCATGATGGGCTCTTGACTGCAAACTCGGATAACATTGTGTCTTACTTGGATTAAGAAAAACAAAATAAAAACAAATAAAGCTTTGAGGTGACACCAGCTCATAGCAGTCTTGTGTGTCAGACCAGCACTTTGCTCCATAGGACTTCAGGGGTTGAGGTTTCAGAGCAGCTTGCCAGGGCTTGCTTCTGGGCTCTCTGGGAGATGTTGATTTTCCAGGCTTTCATTGCAGTTGAAGTCTGCTTGTAGTGGTCAACGCTCACCTCTTCCCCTTACTCTTCACTCTTGCAGGGGCGTTCCTGATTCCCTATGTGGTGTTTTTTATTTGCTGTGGGATACCTGTGTTTTTCCTGGAGACCGCTCTGGGACAGTTCACGAGTGAAGGTGGCATTACGTGTTGGAGGAAAATCTGCCCCTTATTTGAAGGTAAGTGTTGAGTTTATCGAAGAACAAACGTATGCCCAGGAAATGTCACACTGTTGAAAGTTGCTAAGGGATGTCTTGAGAAGCTGGAGGAAGACTCAGGAGTGCTCTCTTGACTTTGTCTGCTCAGGTATTGGCTATGCAACACAGGTGATTGAGGCCCACCTGAATGTGTACTACATCATCATCCTTGCGTGGGCCATCTTCTACCTGACCAACTGCTTCACCACCGAGCTCCCCTGGGCCACGTGTGGACATGAGTGGAACACAGGTATGGCCCTGAGTGCCTTTGCCCTGGGCGGCTCTGCACCAGGTGACTCTCCACTGCTCCTTGTTCTCAAGCTCACCTTTCCCTCAGGCCTCTCTTGTCCTGTGTGCTCCATTTCTTCGGGTGACCTCCCAGAGAGGGGAGTCAGCACTGAACCTGGTCCAGGTGTGTTCTGTGAACTATATGGTGCTGACCCTCTTCCTCGTTCCTCCTTTTCCTCTCTTTTGTATTTACCTTCCCTTCTTGTCAGTTCATTTCCATTCTTCTTTCTTTTCCTTTTCCCTTGTCTGTCTTTTTCTTCTGTTTCTAATTCCTTTTGTTTCCTTCCCTAGTTTTCTTTTTTCTTTCACTGACCACTCTTGGTTTTTTCTTTTGGGTAATTTTTTTTGGGTCACACCTGGCAAAACACATCACTATGTTCACATCGCCACACACAAACCTTGTGCATCTTCACCCAACGGGCAGAAACAAGCACTGGCTTGTGCACCACGTGGTGGGGGACAGATTACAGCCCACAGCAGCCCAGTGTCTCCTCACCTGCTCTTCATGGACAGTCCCCGAAAACTGAATGCGCATCTCTCATCCTCACCGGAAGACAGGAGGAGATGCTAACAGTGCCGATCTAGACAACTACACCCCACGCTTACTGGCTTTGCTCAAATGATATAGAGGCAACAGCACCACAGCTTCTTAGTGACAACATTAAGTCACACAGAAAAACAGGACAAGATGAAACCAACAAGTGGACAAAATATAGAACCAGAAAATCTTTCAGAGGAAGAAATGCTTTTGCATTTTCCTACTAAGAAGTTAAAAGGAATTCTAGTTAAGTCCCTTCAGCAGATTGAGAGAAAGTTAAAAGGAAACTACAGACAAACCCAAGAAAAACATAGGTAAAATACCAGAAGAGTGGTTTTTTTTAAAAAAAAACAAACCTATAAAATGTATTAACAAAATAAATGGAAAATTAGAAGCCATACAAAACCAGCAAATTAAAATCCAGAAGATAAGATAAAATATTGGAAGGACAAAAGGGTAGAGCTGAATGAATTACTGGAACACAAATTAGGGAGAGCTCTGATGGTGTGGTCTGTAGAGATTTGTGAGGCTAACCGGAAGGTAGTGCCTGAAATAAAGGGTGGAGTAGACCTGTGACTCCACAGTAGACAGGTGGGCAGTCCCTCCTGTGTGATTTCAGCCTCAGAAAATCTTCTGGAGTATTGGCTATGAGTTTCAACTCAACAGCAGTAACTGACTGATCTTAACAGTAATCTGTTAGAAGAACAATGAGAAATAAAAGAAGGAAAATGAAGTGAGCAAAGGTATACATAAACAGTCTACAGAATGGACTATATATTAGGTCACAATGCAAACCTTAGTAAATTCAAAAGCATCATAATGTTACAGAGCATCTGCTCCACCAGCCACACCACAGCACAGTGATACACCAGCTCCTCCCAAGCAATTGACAAGTCTCTGAAAACATGCTGGACAGATGGTCACCTAGGAGTTGATTCTGACTTGGTGGCACATGACAATAACTCCTCCTGTCACATCCCTCATTGTCGCTCATCACACATTGTTGCCAGGAACTGACTCATGGCTGATTCTCCAGTGAATTTTCAGAGGCTGTAAATGAACAGGAGCAGACTGACTTTTCTTCCACGGAGCCACTGGTGAATTTGAACTCTCAGAGAGATACTGCCATTGGGTTAGCAGCACTACTGTCTATAGACTATGCCATCAGAGCTCTAAATGAGGACCACTCATTTAGAATAAGTTAAAATCAATTAAGAACGTTTGGTAGTCAGAAAATATGGCTTTGGCCATAGAAATGAAGCTGGGAATTGTATGATAGAATTTTTGTACAACCAATTACTTACAATAAAAAAAGTATAAATGGCTTCTATACACATGGATTTCACTTGACAGAATACACTGGAATCAAATTTACTATGTGGAAATAGAGAGTGAAGAAGCTCAGCATCATCAGAATCAAGCCAGGCGCCAACCAAGGAAGAGACTGTCAGTTGCTAATATGCAAATTAAAATTGAAGTGGAAGAAAAGGTAAAATATAACTTTGGGAAATTAGAAGGTCATCAATAAACTGAGTTATGAAGATGACACAACCTTGCTTGCTGAAAGTAAGGAGGACTTGAAGCACTTGTGGCAGAGTATCAAGGAATGCAGCGTTCAGTATGGTCTGTGTCTCAATATCAAGAAAACAAAGATTCTTACCACTAGACTAATAGGCAACATGATGATGGATGGAGAACAGATTGAAACTGTCAACTTCTTTTTACTAGGATCCACAATTAACACCTTTGGTACCAGCCATATTGCACTGGGCAAGTTTGCAGTTAGAGACCTCTCCAAATTACTGAGGAGTAATGATGTCAGTTTTTGGAAGGAAGAATAGCATCCACTTCCAAAATAGCTTGCCTTCAGAAACTCTATGAACTTAGAGAAACGATGAAAGTTATACAAGTATTCAGGTCTTTTGTTAATAGGGTCATTATGAATTGTCTATGACTTGATGACACTTAACAGCAACAATGATGTCAGTTTGAGGACTAAAGTGTGTCTGATTTAGGCCATGGTCTTCCTAGTCACTTGTTATGTCTCTGAAAGCTGGACAATGAATAAGGATTACAGAAGAAGAATTGATGCCTTTGAGTTGTGGTGTTGGCAAAAACATAAATATGTCATGGAGAGAGTGCAGCCAGAGTGCTCTTTGCAGGCATGCTAGGAGAGGCTATTCCTTGGAGAGGGACATGATGCGGGGAAGGGTGGAGGGTCAGCAAAGGAGAGGAAGACCCTTGACCCGGTGGATTGACATGGTGACTGCCACAATGAGCTCTAGTGTGTCAGGAAGTGTGAAGATGGTACAGGATGGGACGAGGTTCAGATCTGTTGGGTTATATTTGGCTCAACAGCACCTAAAAACAGCAACAACAAAAGAAAGGAAACCCCTTTATGAGACAGGTTAACATACAAGTCAGTCAGGCATTCTGAGAATGACACAGATTCAGGCAAGGGTTTGTTCTGTTGTTGGAGCCACTTTGATGAGCCCAAACTACAAAACCCAAAAGCTATCTACACATATACTACAGTTCATCCATATTTCATCATCATTCTTCAAAGAGATGGGAGGGAAGAAATCATCACGTTTATATGGATAGGAACACGACCTCTGGCAAGAGAAACACTACTGAAGAAGAGAGAGTAAGAGGCCTTACACTTATTCATCTGAAAACTACTGCATAGTCACAGGAGACAAAGTAGTCTGGTTTGAGGACAATAACAAATAAATAGACCAATGGAACATACCTGAGAGTCCACCTACGGACAGCTGATCTTTGAAATCCACACAGTGTGGAAAAGAGAACGTCTTTAACAAACAGTGCTGGAAAAACTGGGTTTCTATTTGCAGAAAATGGAAACAGTATTCTGACCTCACACCATATATGAAAAATAACTCAAGAATGATCCAGGACGTATGTGTGAAATCTAAACTCTAAAGATCTTTAAAGGCAAAATAATGGAAAACTTAGATTGAGTTTTAGGAATCCTATGAGGTAGTTTTCTTCTGTCACAGGATCGCACCTAGCAATAACCAGAAAGGACATGAGCACTTCCAAAGTCCTTGGCATCTGGTGTAGGAGGAGGATCCTGCCCCTAGTCTGGGAAGCTCACACATATCAGCAGTGTGGAGAGAGGCTGGCAGTGCTAGGCACAGGGATGCCTGCATGCAGCCATCTGAGACCCTGCCCTCAGGAATTTGCAGAGCAGTGGTCAAAGTGGCTCCAATGCAGAAGGGCCCTTGAGGCCAGGGTGGCATGCAGTGCCACCACTGAGGAACAGGGCAGGAAGCATTATCCATGGCAAAGGTGATGGAGCCTGGCTTGTCTATTCCAAGTTCTACTGCTAATGGCTGGATGGCTGGAAGTGAGTGAGAGGGGGCAAATAGGAACCTCTTGACTATTTCTGACCTTCAGTATCCTCCTCCTTAAATAAAAGAAGGCGATTCCCTTGAAGCGAATCCATGGTCATTAAGTTTCACGAAGTTGTTCGATAACTCCTTTGGGATGAGTGGGATTGCATGAAGGAATGATGAGGAACCATTGATTCTTCACTTCCATAGGCTCAGGACATATCATCAGTCTCCCTGTCCCTTGTAATTAAGGGAAACTATTCCTATCCCTTAGGTCATTGCAAAGACAGAAGAGGAAGAAAAGACCAAAATGGATGTCAGAAGAGACTCTGAAAATTGCACTGGAGTGCAGAGAAGCCAAAGCACAGGGAGAATTCAAGATACTAAAGAGTTGAATAGAAGATTTCAAAAGGCAGCACGGGATGACAAA